GGCCTTTTGCTCTTTTACAGGGTAATTTCTTAATAACTTTTGTCTATTCCTTTTATGAAAATTGGTATGCTTCAGATTTCTAAATTCAGTGGTAGACACTTTTGGCAATCTGTATTTATCCAGTATATTATCTATTGTTTTGTAGGTTGTCAAATTCATTTGCATAGAAATTTGCAAAATAGTCTCTTAAGATTAAAAGAAAAAAATCCTCTCCTGTTTAAATAGTTAAGTACTCCCTCCCTCCCTCTGCCATTTCTTATTTTGTATGTTTGTGTTTTCTCTCTCTTTTTTGATCAAGTTGGTCTATTTTGTTGTTTCCAAATCTGATTTCTTAATTACATCTATTGCGTTTTTTTTTTTTTTTTTTTTTTGGTCTTCTACCTGAGATGTCAGTAATCTATGGATTATGGACCAGTTGCCTGTTTTTGTGACTTGTTTTTTGTTTGGTTTGTTTTTTGCTTTGGAAATTTCTTTCTTTTTTTTTTTAAATTTTAATTGTTGCCCAGGGGTTCAAGTGATTCTCCTGCCTCAGCCTCCCAAGTAGCTGGGACTACAGGTACGTGCCACCACACCTGGCTAATTTTTGTGTTTTGAGTAGAGATGGGGTTTCACCATGCTGGCCAGGCTGGTCTGAAACCCCTGACCTTGTGATGCGCCTGCCTCAGCCTCCCAAAGTTCTGGGATTATAGGTGTGAGCCTCTGCCACCCCGGCTAATTTTTAATTTGTATGGATACATAGTAGGTGCATATATTTATGAGGTACATGAAATTTTTGAGACAGGGTCTTGCTTTGTAACCTAGGCTGGAGTGCAATGGCTCAGTCAGCTCACTGCAACCTCTGCCTCCCAGATTTCAGTAATTCTCATGCCTCAGCCTTCCTAAGTTGTGAGCCACCATGCCTGGCTGATTTTTTTTGTATTTGTAGTAGAGACAGGGTTTTGCCATATTTGCTGGGCTGCTCTCGAACTCCTGGCCTCAAGTGATCCACCTGCTTTAGCCTCTCTAAGTGCTGGGACTATAGGCCTGAGCCACAGTGCCTGGCTGTACATGAGATATTTTGATATAGTTATACAATGTGTAATAAGCATATCTGGGTAAATGAGGTATCAATCACCTCAAGGATATATCATTTCCTTGTGTTACAAACATTCTAATTATACTCATTTATTTTTATAAAATATACAATAAATTACTGTCCACTGTAATCACCCCATTGTGCTATCAAATACCAGATGTCACTCATTCTATCTAACTGTATTTTTGTACCCAATAACCATCTCCCGCCAACCATCAATTACCTTTCACAGACTCTGGTAACCATTATTATACTTTCTATTTCTATGAGTTCAATTGTTTTAATTTTTAGCTTCCCACAAATGAGTGAGAACATGGGAAGTTTGTCATTCTATGTCTGGCTTACTTCACTTAACATAATGTCCTCCAGTTCCATTTAAATAAAGTTTTATTGGACCACAGCCACATCCATTCATTTATGTATTGTCTATGACTGTTTTTGTGCTACAACAGAGTTGAACAGTTGCAGCAGAGAACATATGGTCCATAAGCCTAAAATATTTACTCTGAAACCATTTAGGAAAAAGTTTGCCAGTCCCTGATCTGTCTCATTAATTTCTGCTTTTATCTTTATTATTTCTTTCCTTGTGCTTTATTTTGGTTTAGTTTCTTGTTTTTTGTTTTTGTGTTTTTAAAGCTTTTAAGTTAAAATTAGTTCCTTTGTTTTATTTTTTTCCTGGTAAAACTGCTTAGTGGTATCAGTTTTCCCCTGATTATTATTTAAATACATCTCATAGGTTCTGAGGTGTAGTGTTTTATTATAATTACTTCTTAGAAGTAATTATAAGAAAGTATAATTACATTGATGTTGTATTTCTTCTTTGATCCAAAAGTTGTTTAATAAAAAGTTTTAAAATTTATACAAGGTGGGGCATGTAGGTTTTTGCTAAACATTGCTGGTTGTATTACATTGTGATTGAAGAGTGTTTTTAACATTTAGTGAAATTTAATGATATCTTTTGGCAACTAACATGTTTTTTGTAAATATTCCATGAATTCTTAGGAAGAAAATGTATTATCTGTTATCAAGGAATAGAATTTGATGAATAGTCATAGTATCCACATTATTATGTTGTTTAGGTATTATTTCTTGTTACTTTTTGCCTACTTGATGTATCCTGTAGCAAGCATATTGAGTTAGGCTAGGTGTGGTGGCCATGCCTATAATCCCAGCACTTTGGGAGGCCAAGGCAGGTGGATCACTGGGACCTAGAAATTCAAGACCAGCCTGGGCAACATGGCAAAACCCCATCTCTAGAAGAAAATACAAAAAATTAGCTGTGTGTGGTTGTCCCATACAAAAATTAGGCTGGGCACCGGTGGCTCATGCCTGTAATCCAGCACTTTAGGAGGCAGAGGCAGGCGGATCATAAGGTTAGGAGATCGAGCCCATCCTGGCCAACATGGTGAAACCCCGTCTCTACTAAAAATACAAAAAATTTAGCTGGGTGTGGCGGCACATGCCTGTAATCCCAGCTACTCGGGAGGCTGAGGCAGGAAAATTGCTTGAACCAGGTAGTTGGAGACTGCAGTCAACCAAGATTGCATCACTACACTCCAGCCTGGGGACACAGTGAAACTCTGTTTCAAAAAAAAAAAAAAAAAATTAGCCTGGCATGGCAGCATGTGCCTATAGTTGCAGTTGCTCGGGAGGCTGAGGTGGGAAAATCACCTTAGCCTGGGAGGTCCAGGCTTCAGTAAGCCATGACTGTACCACTGCACACCAGATTAGGTGACAGAGTGAGACCCTGCCCTAAATATTAAAAGGTAAAACTGCTAGGTAGCTGAAGATAATAGCAGTCGCCTATGTTGCTGAAGATAATAGCAGTTGCCTATGTTCTATTTCCTAATACTTCTTTTATAAACGATACAGAACATTATAAAAGGAAAAAGGAAACTACATGACAATCATGTTCTCAGCATGATTTGAAGACAGAAAATGTCCAAACTTCAAAATAATTGTAAATAAAATGGAAAAAAAAAACCCACCAAATGCCAGTACATGATCTCTCTAGCTCCTGATACTCTGGTACACTGGAGCATGGACTATAAGGAAGATGCAATAAAGTACCATGCAATCTGAAGAGGCAGTTTTCAAAAAGAATAGCTTCTCAGGGGGAAGGCAGAAAGAAAGGGGCACTTTTGACATTTGGGTGTGAAGGAAAGAAGAAGCATAAGCAGGAAAATACCAGACAAGAGAAAGCCAAAAAATGAGAGGTCATAAAATCCCATCAAGAATTGGTGGTCCAGGCGAGGTGGCTTACACTTGTAATCCCAGCACTTTGGGAGGCCAAAGTGGGTGGATAACCTGAGGTCAGGAGTTCAAGACCAGCCTGGCCAACATGGTGAAACCCCATCTCTACTAAAAATACAAAAAAAAAATTTAGCTGGGCATGGTGGCGGGCACCTGTAATCCCAGCAGGAGAATTGCGTGAACCCGGGAGGAGGAGATTGTAGTGAGCTGAGGTTGAGCCATCGCACTCCAGCCTGGGCAACAAGAGTGAAACTCTGTCTCAAAAAGGAAAAGAAAAAAAGATTGTGGAAAGCTTAATTAGCCCTTCTTTGTTTTTCTCATCTCCAGGATCTCTCTATTGAATTTTTGGCTGGTTTGTCATTCTGTCACTTGCCCTAATCAAGCGAGCAGAACTTTGGCTTTCTCTGTTCATTTCCTATCAAGTTTGTCACTTTTACTGACAATTGTTTGCTACTTTTATTTGACAATCCTGCTAGGCAGAGTTTTTCCACCCTCAGCTCCAAATCAAGTCAACTGTTGGTTTTCAAAGCCAGTCCTACCCTGGTAGAACTAGTTTGAAGATGGGCAAGAGGATGGAAGCAGCATCAGGCAAGAAAATAAGATACTTCTACTTTATTACTAGAAGTTCAGCAATTTTGCATGAATAAATGCTTCTCAGTTTGTTTGCCTTTGATTTCCAGAGCCCAGAAATGGTGGCTTTGTCTGGTTTTATATTTGTTTCTTGGGGAGAGGATTTGCTGACATCCAAATAAACACTTTCTTACTTGGAAATCCTCCCCCTCTTTATTTGCTGTTAACCTGTATAGTTTGAGGAATTTTTCTTGAAGTTATTATAAGTGGGTATGTATAATTCATATATACGAATTTTTTAATATGGCCTCTTTACAATTACTGAAAATAGGATCCTCAAAAGCAGGAATGTTATCCATAAACCAGGGACCAAATCTGACCCACTGCCTATTTTTATAAATAAAGTTTTATTCTAACACAGAAACTCTCATTCATTTATATATTATCTGTGGCCGCTTTTTCTTACTGTAACAGCAGGACTGAGTAGTTGCAAAAGAGTTTGTGTGGACTGCAAAGCCGAAAATTTTTGCTATCTGGCCCTTTACATAAAAAGCTTTCTGACCCCTGCTTGAGAGAATCATTATCATAATTAATACTATAATTATCACTGTAAATAACATTGCTTTTATCTAGTTTTTAAATTTCATATTTCTTCATCTTCTCAGTAACCCCATGTAGCAAACTGGACAGATATTTAAACTGTCATCTATCAGATTTCAAAAACCAATGGTAAACTTACATTAAAGAAATATGATTATAAAAACTATAATTCAAACTACATATTCTAAAAAATTAATATTTATTAAAGGTAATCTAACAATCCTAGAATTAAACAACAGAATACAAACAGAATTCAATATGTCATAGTAATTTCATTTTGGCCTAGAATAACATTTATTGCAGCAATATTATTTTTATAGTCACTTTTGCCATTCATTATGCTTGCTCTGAATAACCAAACTACTGCCAAGTCTGACCCGTGAGAAAATGCACACTTTTCTCCTTGACATTTTGAAATACTCTTGCTTTGCTATTAGTTCAAAATTGAACAGGTAATGCTAAATACTTTATGGAGTGATTTCCTGTGTTCAACATTTCTTACCTGTTAGAAGAGCCATTCAGTATTCTTTGTCGTACAGTATGTCTGTGGGATGAACCAGAGGGAGGGAGGTTATCTGGAAATGAGTCTTCCACTTGAGGTGCTAAAGACAGGCCAACAGAAGCTTCATTTAGCATATCCCCTCTGTCCAAGGGCCCCAGTAGTTCTGTTAAAAACGATTAATATATGAGTTAAATACTAAGTACAATTTCTGCTAACTCCCTGATAAGTAAGATTACAGAAAAACTTTCACATATCCCAGTGGAACTTTTCTCTTTATTCTGTCAATTTGAAAATCTTGTTGTCCCAGTCTCCTATGACTTCTGACATTCTTATACTTATCTCAGCCAGGGGAGTTTGATAATAGAATCATGAATGTTTTCAAGCTCAGATTTTAAAAAATTCATTTATACCTTGCTTATATATAGTGTTTTTAACCAGCATATTATTAATTAAAAGTTTCCTTGTTTGTTTTTAGCCAATTACTGGAATATTTTATCCTGGATTGTTGCAAGAAGTGATTTTACTCTTTCACCTATAGCAAACAATTTGAAAAGGAAAGAAAAATATTTTTCCCAATATTTGCTTTCAATTAGCATTTTAAATTTTATAGGAAGATATATACTCCCATATCTTAGAGCTATACAGAGGTGTATAGAGAGAGACTGGCAACTTTGACAGGGCATTGTTTAAAAACATTGTTTGAAACATAATGAAGCTGTGAAAAATATATTTTTTGTAAGAAATATAAATCTTATTAAAAAACAAACACACAAAAACCTCTTAGGACTACTGTGTTTGTGTATGTATTTAAAGATTTTTAACTTATGAAAAAACTGTAATTTTTATCATCTTAAATGTTTTAAAGCATACCATTCAATACTGTTAAGTATATTCATATTGTTGTGAGGCAAATCTCCAGAACTTTTTTGTCTTGCAAAACTGAAACTGCACCCATTGTACAATTCTGCATTTGCCCCTCCCCCGCCTGATAACCAACACTTTATTTTCTGTTTATATGAATTTGATAACTTTAAATCTTGTGTAAGTGCGATCATACAGTATTTGTGTTTTTGTTACTGGCTTATTTCACTTAGCATAATGTCCTCAAGTTCTATCTGTGTTGTAGTATATGACAAGATTTCTTCCTTTTTAAGACTGAATAGTAAGCCATTTTATGTACATACCATGCTTTGTTTTTCCATTCTCTCTCTATTGACATTTGGGTTGCTTTCACCTCCTGGCTATTGTGAATAATGCTGCTATGAATATGGATGTGCTAATATCTCGGAGACCCTGCTATCAGTGCTTTTGAACATATATTCGGAAGGGGGATTGCCATATCATACAGTGGATCTATTTTTATATTTTTGAGGAAACATTATACTAATTCATTGTGGTTCACCGTTTTGCTGTATCTTCTTGGTGAATTGATTCATTAATCATTATATAGTATCCTTCTTAGTCTCTTATGAGAGTTTTTGACTTAAAGTCTATTTTGCCTCATATTAGTAAAGATATCCCTGCTCTCTTATGGTTATTATCTGCATTATCTTTTTTCATCCTTCATGTTTAGCCCTTCTATGTTGTTAGATCTAAAGTGCCTGTATGCAGCATATCATTGGATCCTATTTTTATTATTTTTATACATTTAGCCAATATGCCTTTTGACTGAGGAGCTTAACTGCTTCTCTTTAAAGTAATTACTGATATGGAAGGATTTTCTGTAGCCTTTTTGTTACCTATGTCCTGTATATCTTATGGCTTTTTGGACCCTCATTCTTCACTTACTGTCTTTGTGTCTTATGGATATTCTGTAGTGACATTCTTTTGACTCCCTTCTCAATTCCTTTTGTGTGCATTGTATAGATATTTTCTTACCACTGCAATTGTAGAAACTATCTTTATTATTATTATTACTATAAGTTCTGGGGTACATTTGCAGAGCATGCAGGTTTTCACATAGGTATACATGTGCCCTGGTGGTTTGCCACATCCATCACCTGTCCTCTACATTAGGTATCTTGAAGTTATAACAAATCTATTTTAGGGTAGTAACTTAATTTCAATTACACAAATTCTCCTTTATAGAGAAGCCCCCTTATGTTATTGTCATAAATTACCTATTGTGTATATTGTATACCAGTTAACACAGATTTATAATTGTGTGTGTCTGTGATTTACTTTTAGACTCTTTACAAAAATTAAAAGTGGATTTATGCACCAATATAGGATCTATATTTATTTAAATGTTTATCATTAGTGGAGAACTTTATGATTTCATATCACTATATTGCTGCCTAGCATCATTTGTCTAATTTGAAGGACTCTATTTAGACTATATTGTCTAGTAATATTGACTAAACAGCTTTTGTTTATCGGAAAGGTCTTAATTTCTCTATTTCTGAAGGACTGTTTTGCTGGATGCAATATTTTTAGTTGATTTTTTTCTTTTAGTACTTTTAATCAGACCATTTCTTTTAAGCCTTCAAAATTTCTATTGAGAAAACTGGTGATAATCTTAGTTGGCTCACTCGTACATGATGAGTTGTTTTTCTCTGGCTGCTTTCAAGATTCTGTTGACTTACAACAATCTGATTACAACATGACTTGGTATGGGTTTCTTCAGGTATATCATAGTTGCAGTTCATTGAGTTCTTGAGTTTGTAGGTCCATTTCTTTTATCAGCCTTGGGAAGTTTGTAGCCACTGTTGGTTCAAATAAGCTCTTTGTCCCTTTCTCTTTCTCTCCTCCTTTTGAGAGACTCAATAATTTCAAATGTGCTAACTTTAAAAACAAGGATTCTTTTGCTTGCATAAGTCTGCTGCGGAATCCCTCTAGTGAATTATTTAGTTCACTTGTATTTTTCAGGTCCATAGTTTGTTTTTTTGTTTGTTTCTTTTTTCAAGAGACAGGGTCTTGCTATGTTGCCCAGGCTAGTATTGAACTCCTAGACTCAAGCAGTCCTCCCTCCTCGCCTCCCAAAGTGCTAGGATTAGAGGCTTGAGCCATCATGCCTGGCCTTTTAACTCAAAAAAAAAAAAAAGTTTCTCTTTGTTAATAGTCTTATTTTGTTTATGCATTATTTTCCTGATTTCTGTGCAGTTCTGTGTTCTCTTGTAGGTCTTGATCATCTTTATGAGAGTTACTATAAATTCTTTTTTAAGAAGCTTATAGATCTGCATTTCTTTAAGGCAAATTTCTGGAGCTTAATTTTGTTCCTTTGATCAGGCCATGGTCCTGTTTCTTTGTATACCTTGTGGTCTTCTGTTGAGGTTTGAGCATTTGAAGAAACAGCCACCTTTCTCAATCTTTATCAACAACTTTTATTTGGGGGAAGACTGTGACCAGTCAGGCTGGCTAGAGGTTCTGAGACCACTCAGATTTTTCCTGGGGATGTGTTTTCTTTGGGGTTGTATGTTTGCTTTTAGTATGGGTGCTTCTGACTGTCTTACTTTCCTGTGTCTTCATGGGAGCTTTTTTTGTTGTATTCCTCTGCCCTTAATCTCTTGCTTGCCCCCCTGGAGCCTGCCTGCAGAACTATAGAGTCTCTGCTGTCTTAACATGCTAAGACATTCACCTGCTTTCAGTGGCCTCTAATCTTGTATCCAAACTATGCCACTGCCATTTTCATCAATTCCCTGAGCAAAGTAAGGCAGCCTACAGAGAAGTTAGCACGAGGGACTTAAGCTTCACTCTATTCCTTCTGTTCCAGGGGAGGGACCCTGGAACTAGAATAATGTGATGAACTCTCTTACGCTCTCAGGCACCATCCATTCTCTTGTTTTTGCACTTGCCTGCATTCTGTGGTCCATTAACTAATTTCTAGATTTCTCACAAAACTATTTTTATGTATATATTACAGATAATTTGTCTCTATAGGAAAATGAGGACCTGAAGCTTCCTAATCTGCCATCTTGCTAATGTCATTTCTGTATATTATTTCTGCAGTGTGTATATATAACCATATATGTATAATATATATTATATATTATATATATACAGTTTCATATATATATATACACAGTTTCATATACATATATGAAAACTGTAGCAGGTAAGGACTAAATGCTTTTTCCTTGATAGACAAGATATTATTATATTTATTCTCACCTTGAGCCCTTTTCCCAATCCTTACTGTTACTGAATTTCTTTTCATATTCCACTAGAAAATACATATAGCATGGATTGTCTCCTTGTAGAACTTTCTGTAATACCTTTTGTTTGGATATGCTAGTACTATTTTAAGGATGAAAAGTATAGTAGTTACTTCTATTATCAGACTTAATTTCTATAATATAATTACATGGATCAGCTGTACTCTTTGCTATTAATTAAGATAAAATGAAAATGTATCTCTGCTAGTAATGGAGTTCTCAGATGGTTTAATTTCCAAATGCAAAAATTAGGTTTGAATGTTTCTTCTTCTTTTTTTTTTTTGAGATGCAGTTTTGCTCTTGTTGCCCAGGCTGGAGCCCAATGGCAAGATCTCAGCTCGCCACAACCTTTGCCTCCTGGGTTCAAGTGATTCTCCTGCCTCTGCCTCCTGAGTAGCTGGGATTACAGGCGTGTACCACCACGCTTGGATAATTTTCTATTTTTAGTAGAGATGAGGTTTCTCTATGTTGGCCAGGCTGGTCTCGAACTCCTGACCTCTTAAAAGTAAACTTTTATTGAAGGTCTGCTCTGTGCAGATATCTTTGATGATTAGGGGATATAAAGATGATATAAGGATATAATCCCATCCTTAATGAGCTTACAGTGTGATAGCAGGGCGGGGAGTGGGGAGCAGAAAAAAATAAACAACTAGTGACAACATAGGAGTAGAGGAGAGGCCAGGTGCTGTGGCTCATGCCTGCAATGACAGCACTTTGGGAGGCTGAGGCAGGTGAATTGTTTGAGCCAAGGAGTTCAACACCAGCCTGGGCAACATGGTAAAACCTCATCACTAAAGAAAAAAAAATTAGGCATGGTAGCACACACCTGTAGTCCCAGCTACCTGGTAAGCTGAGTGGGAGGAGCAGCTGACCTGGGGAGGTTGAGGCTGCAGTGAACCGTGATCATGTCACTGCCCTCCAGCCTGGGTAACAGAGTGAGAGAACTTGTCTCAAAAAAAAAAAAAAAAAAAAAAAAAAGTAGAAAATAAAAATTTTTGGAAGATACTAA